CCCCCCCCCCCCGCCCCCCCCCGGGAGGATACGATTTTTTCGGCTATTTAGTTTGTTTTTGTAAATTAGAGCGGGAGTGTGTCACACCGCGAGATTGACTAGACAGAAAAGTTGGCTTCTTTTTATTTCCCCCTCTTAGGGGCATATTCAGTGTAGGAATTAATGGACTATCTGGCCGCGATTCCGACTAGATTAGGCTCTCTCTCTGTTTCTGGTGAGAATTCGGCCTATGTTTGCTGTGTTGCGCTTTTACTTTGCGCATAATTGAATGCCTATGTGTCATAAATGCATATACACGGGCCGAGCGCCTATGCAATTGCTCTCTGTTCTCGCTTGCCCATCCCATTTCACAATTTTTTTATGTGCCAAAAACACAAATGTTATTTGTAGCACGGAAAAAAAAAAAGCACGAACAGTATTAGTGAAAAAGTACGGTAATACTAGGTAGTGGACTACCTTCTTCCCCCGAAAACAACGTACAGTCATTAAAGCCGTATTTAGACTGAAAGATACGTCAAATTCAGCTATAGTGACCGTACGTTGTATTCGGGGGAAGACTATTAAAAAATAAAAATAAAAATAAAATGGCGCTGAATTGTACTGGTCACTTTTGCGCCTCCTTTGGCTGTCAAGGCATAGATAGTATGAGTAGGATTGGTGAAAGAGCGGTAAAAGTGAATTATTAACTTTTTCGACCCCTGTGGTTCAACGCCAATGGGCGTCGGTCGGTCGTTCGTTCCTCGCGCGACCGGTCGATCACGGTTGCTCCTGTCCAGTTTTGAGGTAGTGTGACTCTCTCTGTGGACGTTGGTCTTGTCTGTGATTGGTGCTCCGACAGGTTGACGACAACAAGAAATGCAGCCACGCGCGGCAATTGCGACACCGAAGGGGCGGAGCTCTGCCTGCTGGAGGGCAGAACACGGTAATCACGTAGGATGAGATTTTGACACCCACCCTCAAAAGAGCGGTCGTTACTTGCGATTGGCAAGCTGCAGCACTTTGAAGGGGTATCATTTCGCCTCTCTAAGGGGTTTTTGTGTGTGGGGGGGGGGGAGGAGGGAGGCTGCGAGGAGAAGAAGCCGAAGGACCATCTTGGCCGGATGTCAATCATGGTGTTGTTGTCTGAGTACTAGCCATCCTTGTAAGAGTAATAGTACGAGTACGAGGAGGAAGAAGAGGAGGGGTAGAGGAAGGAGGAAGAAAGGAGAGGCAGGGGTGGAGGGGCGGGAAGGGGAGAAGGGAGAGCATGGAGGAGAGTAGGGGCTTTATTGGGGTGGGGTGGAGAAGGGGCAGGGGACGACCGTTTGCCACCGTTTGCCGTCGTGCTTCCTTTTTTTTTCCCTGTGCTCGTGGCGGCCACGCTTGAGGGTGTAGGCCCTGTAGGGGTGGTACTCGTAAACGGAGCCGCACTGCATTGTGCAGTGTCGGAGTCATCGGTGGAAAGTAGGAGAATGGACAAGTAGAGGAGAGATCGCTGCTCTTCCTCCTCTCTCCTCTCGTTATCCCTCCGCGAGAGGCCTTACGGTTCCCCGGTGGACTGTCGCTGGCGCTCGAACGATAATGATTTAGCAGTAACGTAAACGGGGTTAGAAACAGGTCCTTAAAAAAAAAAAAAAAAAAAAAAGGAGGCCCTTTTTAAACCGCGCACTCTGTACTTCCAAAGCAGCACTTTGACGACTTCGATATTTTTGTTGTCTTGGCCGTAGCTCGTGTGATTGGTGATTACCGATATTGATCGCCCAAGGCGCCGTTGGAACGTACAGACAAAATTGGAAAGTGGAGATGGGGGGAGGTAGGTGGATGATGAGACATAGCCGACATAGCTTGGTTCCTAGAGATGGGGTTGGAACGACCATCATCATGATGATGGCTTCGTCGCCGCTAATTGGGGGCCAGACTTGATAAACTGGAGTAGAATTAGGACCCAGCTTGGCGCGGAGCGGAAGTGAGGAGGACGTCTGGCGCTCTCTGGGCGACGGATGAAGCGCGACCGTGTTTCACTCCGGGGCCATCGAAAAAAACGTTGTCCGAGACGACAGCGGCAGCGCCGACTGCGTGTTGATGGATTCGGGTTGCTGGGAGGAGGAGGAGGGGGAGGAGACGGAGAAGAAGAGGAGGAAGGAGAGCACGACTGTGGCAATACGGACGTGCGGATCTGCAGGCTTCCCTCGATCTTAGGCGACACCGACTGAGGAAGGAGGACGAGCTTGCCCTTTTGTCTGTTGCAGGAAGAAGAGCGAAATTGTAGCGATCACGACTGTCAAGCCTCGTGGAGACGGGATTGACCCATGAAAAGACTCTCTGTGTGTCTGTGTCTGACCTTGTCCATCTGTTCTGAGTGTATGTGCGAGAGAGAAACCGACTCACGGGGGGGGAAGTAGAGAGAGAGAGAGAGAGAGAGAGAGAGAGAGAGAGAGAGAGAGAGAGAGAGAGAGAGATGGGTGACAGGTCAGCAGCGTAGGTGTCTCTGCTGCAGGTGTCTTCGCTCCCGGGGCGACTTGTTCGATGGTCGGACGTAGAATTTTTGAGCTTTTATACTTGTTTTTATTTGTTTTTTTTCTCCCTGAGAGCGTTGGGAGGAAAGAAAGGCGATGTTTATGATCGGCACAGACAGTAGAGGTTTCCTAACTACGGGTGCTGTGCGAGTGTTGTAATTTAATTCGATCGTGTTTTGTCAGACCGTGTGTGTGTGTGTGTGTGTGTGTGTGTGAGAGAGAGAGAGAGAGAGAGAGAGAGAGAGTCTATATCCGGATTCAGGACTTTCTCTTAGCCAGGAGGAGGAAGGAAGAAAAATGGGGGATCGTCGTGGTGGTACCCAAGAGGCCGCTCGGGAAGCCCTTCCTCAGTATATACTCCGACAACAGTTAGGAACGGGCACCTTTAGCAAGGTATATTTGATGGAGCATAGGATTACTGGCGTTCAGGTGGCAGCGAAGGTCCTGAAGAAGGACCGCATTCTGGAGCAGCAGATGGAAGAGAAGGTGAGGAGGGAGATCTTCCTCTTCTCTCGTCTCGATCATCCGAACATCGTCCGTCTTTATCGCGTGGTCAACCAGGGGCGCTACATGGTTCTCGTCATCGAGTACGCCGACAACGGTGAGCTGTTCGATTACATCGTCCAGGCGGTCAGGCTTCCTGAGAGCGAGGCTCGTCGGATCTTCCAGCAGATCATCGCCGGTCTTGAGCACTGTCATCGTCGCGGCGTGGTCCATCGGGATCTCAAGCCCGAAAACATCCTCCTTTCCGGCGGCGCAAACACCCTGAAGATTGTCAAGATCGCCGACCTCGGGCTGGGCAACCTTGTTCGAGAAGGTGCCTTCCTGAAAACCAGCTGTGGCAGTCCCAATTACGCCGCCCCGGAGGTGATTGGCGGCAAACCTTACGTGGGCCCGGAGGTGGACATCTGGAGTGCGGGGGTGGTGCTTTACACTTTGCTCTGCGGTCGGCTTCCCTTCGATGAGCAGAGCACCACACGGTTGTTCCACAAGATTCTGCAAGGCGACTATGTGCCTCCATCCACGGCGCTGTCGTTGGAAGCGCGAGACCTCATTGCTCGCATGCTGGTCGTCGATCCGAATCTGCGATTCACGATCCCGGAGATTCGAAGGCACAGCTGGTTCTTCCCCTGGTTCATCCCGCAGCAAATGCCAGCGGTGCCTGGACAGCATCAGCCGCAGGGCAACCTGGGCCTGCCCATGGGTACGATGATGCCAGGTGGCACTGGTGCTGGGGGTGGTCACAACCCTGCCGCCGCAGATGGGCCCTCCAGAAGGTCCCATCCGGGTGGGTATGCAAGAGAACGGTTCCAACTGCCACCATTCCCCGTGAACAACCCCAGCCTGAGGGTAGATAGCGATCCTATGCTTCTGAACCGTGTATTCGGAGAGCAGAGGTTCCGCCTCGGATTCCACGTGAGCGGATCAACAGGCAGCGACGCTATGCGCAAGGTGATCGCCTGCCTCAACTCTCTCCGCGTGCTGTGGAAGCGAGTCGGGCCGTACGCCATGCGCTGCTTGTGGTTGCGCATGCCGCCGGAACAACCGGATACACCGGACGCGCCCGTACAGCATCTCATAATGGCCCCTTCCGCCGATACCGCGGGCAGTAATCATTCGCATGGCCCAATCAACGCTCTAGACCTCAACGCGAGCGCCTCCCTCCCTGTGCTGCACCACCACGCTCTCAATCCCGTTCCCACGGACCGCATTACCCCCTCAACATCCGCAAGACGTATGTCCACCTCTTCCTTTGCCACGTCATCATCGTCCGTACAGAACGCCGCTACAAGAAGCCAGCATCTTGCGGACGGGGCGGCGAGCCGCGGGGCCGCCGAGCGGCGCGGCAGCGGTTCTCGGAGCAGCTTGGGGGGGGCGGGGGGAGCGGGAGCGGGAGTGCCATCGTGGAATGGGCTCTACGGGTGGGATGCAGGAGCATCGGGAGGAGCGGGAGGAGGAGGAGGAGGAGGAGGAGGAATGACAGGACGCCAGGGTGAAGGTGGTGGGGCGATGCTGGATCGTTACCATCTTGAACAGGGGAACCATTACTCGACGATGGCAAACGCACAAGGGTCACATGGGCTCATCCAGAACAATGTCATGCGCGCTGACGAGAACCATGGTCACCAGAGCATGTACGAAGCCCCTGGCGTCGTTGGCGGAGGGGACTCCGCCGCCGGAGGAGGAGTGGTGGGGACCACCATGATCATCGAGGAAGAACGCAGAGAGCCGCAATTGGTTGGGTTCGATTTGCAGCTGTACCAAGTGCCCAGGGTGGCTGGAGCCTCGGCACTTCACCCCGGGACCGGGTTGAGAGACTACCTCGTGGACGTTGACCTACTGACTCAAGAGTGCACCTTTCCTTTCCTTGACTTTTGCGCTGTGCTTGTCGGCGAGTTGCTCAGTGTATCGCGAGCTGGGGAGAGATTGAGGGCCGGGGCGCGGCAGGCGGGGGGGAGTGCCCTTGTTGGAGCTGGTATTGGCCTGGGGGTGGCGTCGTCGGGCGCAGTTGCTGTACCGGGCACCGCCTCAGACCCGACTGGGGGTAGCCGACGAAGCTCTCTCGCGGCACAGCCGGCAGTTTCGTCCCGGGGTCCACCAAGAAGTCAACACCTGGGGGTACCCACCTCCCAGGCTTCCTCTAGGGGCCAGCAATCCCATGTACCCTCCTCTCAGGTGCCCGGTAGGACCCGGCGAAGCCATCATGGGCCTGCAGCCCGTACACGGAGACAAGTACATGAAGTTGCAGACGCACTGCCCTATCCACCGCTGGAGCAGCAGCAGTAGGAGCAGCAATAGCAGCAAGCAGCAGCAGCGGCTGCGGGTGCTGGAGTAGGAGGAGGAGGAGGAGGAGGAGGAAGAGGGCAAGGGTGTTCTTTCTGTCAATGGCCTTACTCTTTCTGCTACCCCTTTGCTTGACTACCCACCATTATGATACCCTTTGCAGCCTGAGTATCTGTCCGTTTGTAGCCGTTAGATACCCGCCCAATTTGTTAACAAACGACATTCGTAAGGACCTCTTTTTTGTCACTTTAGGTCCCTAATTAAGAAAGCTCACTGACTAACAGTAGCTGCGATTCCAGTTCATTCGACATAATATCACCATCGATGAATCTCCTTGAGCGCCGGGGTAAGCTGCCTGCCTGCCTGCGGCGGGCCAGAAATCTACCTTCCTGTCCCCCACTTTCATTTCCACACCTTTCTTTCTCCCTCTTGTCTTTCAGCTCAATCCGAGAATAGTCTTAGTTCGATTGATGAATTACCTTGATGACCATTTGATTATTGCTCCCTACCTTTTTTTCCACAGAGTTCATGGATCTTGTTTGCTTTAATTCTTACTTTTTTTTGCAGATAAAAGAAGGTGCGCTGCTGCTGTAGAAAACAACAGCCTGAGGAATTTCGCCCTTTCGTTGTTTGACTTGATATGCAGTTATCAGCTCCAAAGCACGGAGCGTGTACCTCGCAGTAGCTTGCGTGATTGTCCCTAATGCTCATCGCTTCTTCCATAATTGTGACTGCCGTTGGCGTGTATGTTTGCACATGCACGCACACATGCCCACGTGCTCACACATGCACACACACACACACACACACTCACACACACACACNGAGAGAGAGAGAGAGAGAGAGAGAGAGAGAGAGAGAGAGAGAGAGAGAGAGAGAGAGAGAGAGAGAGATCCGGAAAAGTGAAGCAAGCATTATAGTAGACGGTGATAATGTTGGGGCTGCACAACTTCCTTGTTGTTATGCGTGCACACGCATTAGGTGTTTGTCTCGTCTGATCGTGTGATCCAGATTCTCTGTGCTCTGGACTTGTTTACCATGTAGCAATTTGAAAGTATTGTTCTGCAAATGAACTGCATATCTGGCCTGCATCAGCTGCAGGATGGGGATAGAGTGAGATGGGAGTAGCCTTCTGACGGGCACTTGGGAGGCATTCGGATTACCTTCGCTGGTATGCTTCGCTGGTATACTTAGTGTATTGCGATGTGGGGAGTTTTGTTCTCGACGTCTCTGTAAATGCCAGGATACTAACTTGAATGGCATTGGCAAGGAGTGGGAGCAGGCATAGCAGCTGCGGCAGAAGATCTTTTGAGAGTGAAGTTGTTTGACGATCAACGGTTTGCCTTGTGGCACACGGAGATGACATCGTCGCGGCATTGTGGTTCTGATATGGTACTGGTTGGTTGCGTGTACCTCATCATTTATTGTCGAGGGGGGTGGGATTCAAGTTGAAGGAATGAAGTGTGATTATGTAATGCGGCTCGAGAGGAGGAGAAGGGAAATGGCGGTGCCACTGCAGAACTGTGAGGAACGATGGGAGTTTTACGGGGAGTCCGATCTGGAGGCAAAAGATCTTGAAGGCAAATCTGACCACCACGATGGCAGCAACGTTCCTCGGGAAGGAGGAAGCACAGTGGCAGCATACTGATGGGGATGAGGTGACAGACTTTACGAGGACGTGCAGTATGCAAGCAAGACAGGAAGACAGGGTGTTCATATTTGGCGTGACTTCATATTTGGCGTGATGACTGGTGATGATGGGCAATGAAGTTCCTTTGATGCAATCTTTGGGAGGAGGGAGTGCACGAGAACTTGAATGCTGCACTCGAGGCCAGTACCAAGCAGTACATGATGATTCAGTGGGAGGTGAGCTCGTTGTCTCTTTGATAATACTATGTATAGAATAATCATATCTGCAGGCTTGGAGGGAGAGCCTCGAGTCTGAATCCAGTCCTGATCAAGGCATAAAGCTCTCTCTCTCTCTCTCTCTCTCTCTCTCTCTCTCTCTCTCTCTCTCTCTCTCTCTCTCTCTCTCTCTCTCTCTCTCTCTCCGTCCTGCATCGCTTTCTCTCTCTGACACACAAATCTGGGCAAGTCAAATTCTAGATATGGCTAAGTCAGACTTCTCATCATCCTTTCATGTTTGGTTGATTAACTGCTCTTATTTATGTTCTCTCTTTCCTTTTGTGCGTTTGGTCTTGCCAGCCACGATGGCCTGTGCCAGTGTATTGGCAATTGCGGCACTACGGCCGACAAGTGGAAGGACTGTCAAGCAAATAAGCGTCTTCAATTTTGTAGCATACTTTTACCCTTGCTGCATTTTTGGAGTTGTCTGAACTGGGTGGGCAAACTAGAGAATTGTGCGCTCTCTTGTTCTCCCGCCTCCCCCCGTCCTCCATTCCCTTCCCCCTCTCCCCCCCCCCTCTTCCCCCCCCTCTTCCCCCTGAACTCCTTTCTGAAGACCGGGGAAACTTGAAGTCCAGTGTTTTGCCTGTGCGGGGTCCCAATTTTACCCCCAAATTTACCCCCAAACTTACCCCCACCAAACTTACCCCCACCAAACTTACCCCCAAACTTACCCCCACCAAACTTACCCCCACCAAACTTACCCCTACCAAACTTACACAATCGATAGTGCACCATCATATTCTGATGACATTCCTTGCTGTTTGAATTCTATGTTATATTAGTACCAAGCCATGCCATGCTGTTTGAAATACTTGCTGTATTTAATTTACCAAGCCCAAGCCATGCTTTGCTGTTTGGAGCTCTGCGTGGAGTGTAGGTTGGTCTAGCAGCAATAGGAACAGAATAATTGTAAATGTATTGAATCGAATTGAAGTCATGATTTATTTTTATTTTTATTTTTTTTTGTTTGAGGCATTATCTCATTTTTGTTAATGATAGTTGTGTGTGAATGTATTGGCCCAGTTTGTGGCTGTGGAGCATTTGAAGAAATTCAATGCAAAGGGTCTTCTTAGTGGCAGGCATGCCAACCCTCCTCTTCCCCCCCCTTTCCCCCCCCCCCACACACACACAGCGCGGCATCTCAAAGTATGCTGAGTATTCTGGTTGTTGTAATGCCCTCTCACCGCTCTCGGGATAGCCCGTGGGAAAAGGACGAGTTGGATTTAAACCATTACTTGGCCCAAATATCGGTGGCGGAAAACAGATAGAGTGGCAACTTTTTTAGTCGGATGAATTTGGGCGCTCCTGTAGTGGCGCGTACGTTTCCTAAAATTGTGGCTTGTTAACGGTCACTAGTACTACGTTAGGAAGTACTGGTGGCTTAACTTCTCTGTGTTTGCAGACAGCGTAGTAGTACTAATGACATTTCCTGAGGGGAAGGGCGGCGAATTTTTTTTCTGTTTGTTTTAGCGTTTAACTCTACAACAGACGTGAGGTGGAAGCTTTGACGAATTTGAACATTACTTACTTTGTGTGTGGATTTACGAACATTTACCTCTCTCAGACCACACTCACACTACTGTAGGGCAATTTCTACTAAGCTCTGGACGCGATTGCAGTTAGATTCATCCAGGTCTGGACGTAATTGCAGTTAGATACACTTTGGACAGTCGTACTAGCAGTGTGAGTGCGCCCTCGTATTCCCTCTGGAGAGTCAAAATCGTCTCTTTGTAGCGACTGCCAGCATGATGTCAGGCTTGCTCCAGAGCCCCGCGCTGACCCGGGGTGCGACGACAATTCTGCGCACCAAAGGTCTCTATTGCTTTGCCTATTATTATCACATTGCCGACCGCAGCCTGCAGTGTGGTGAAGTACACACCTCGATCTGATGGAGGATCTGTGTAGCTGGCTGCCGCCTGTATGCATGGAATTCCAGCACCACAGGTTTATTGGGAACCATGGCAAGAACGCCAAGAAGAACATGCGTGGTTGTTCAAGGCACCCTCGCCTCACCAGTTGTCGGCAAGCAAGGCCATACGATCGTTGCCATAAGGCGCGTAACGGATAGGTCGCTAGTTCAACAGTCGTCCCCCTTCTCATTAGTACCTTGCTGCTGTCGCAAGGACAAAATTAATGGAGAACGGATACACAGATACGGATTTTGAACGATGACCTCTCTCTCTCTCTCTCTCTCTCTCTCTCTCTCTCTC